GTCGATTCCTCTGCTGCTTCTGTACGAGTTTGATGGTTCTCTGCTTTGTTTCTTTTAGGCTGTCACGTCATCAGGAACAAAGAAGGGTGATCTTTTTTGGGCTGATGTGAACGCTCAGTTGAAGAACAAGAACATTACCACTGATTTACAGTTTATCCCCTTCTCCAAGCTTTCTAACAGCGATCCCCAAAACAATTCGAAGCATTTGGACGGCCCTGATCCCCTGAGAGTGGCATAGAAATAGAATATCTCAGTTTATCCCCTTCTCCAAGCTTTCTATCTACGGCCCCGAAGCCACCGAATTACGCTTATACTATATATACACCCATGCATAGATGCCTGCTCCAATCACTCCCGCTCTTGCGTCAAAGCTTCACTGCTCCTCTCTCCATTCAGTTGTTTTCTTCCTCTTGAAACTTCGATAATTTTCTGCAGAGTTTGAAATCATGGCCAAAGGTCCTGGTCTTTACACCGAAATCGGCAAGAAGGTCCGAGGTCTACTTCTTCCCTTTCGTTCGTGTATACATACATTAATACATACATGTGTCGATGCATCGAAATTATGTATTTATGTTTTCAATTTATGCGGCTATAAATACGCTTGAATTATTGAATCATTGCGGTTCTGTTCTAGTCTTTTTTCCCCCTTTTTTTGGTGATGAAGTTTTTTTTTTTCTTCCTTTTTGTGTGTTGTAATAGATCTTCTGTACAAGGATTTCCAGAGCGACCACAAGTTCACTATCTCAACCTGCTCGCCAACTGGAGTTGTGAGTTTTTTTTTTTTTGGATTTATTCCGTAGCTATCGTCTATTTGTTTGTTTTCTGGAAACTGTTCTGTCGTAGTTTTTTTGAAAGTAAAATTTATTTGTTGAATTCACAATAGTTTGCTGAGGAATATTTTCGTTCTTAGGAGTTCCAGAAAAAATGATGTGTTATATTTTGCTGGATGGTACACTTAGAAAATAATAGTTATTTTGTTGAATGTGGTAATTGTTCATGTTATTGGAATGCGTGAATTGCGTTGGAAGAAGTTTGTATGAATGTTTATTAGTTTGTCCTGTTTGTGTAATGGCTGAGAACTGGCTTGGCAGTTCCGTTGCATTTGCTTGTTAGACTTTTGGATGTGCATTAGTTGTTGCACCCCTTTATTTTCATTGTTGGTGGTAATATTATGTATTCAAGGTAGTTTTATGACCTATTTTCATTCTCACTTGTTAAAGGAATGATGGAATCTTATTGACTTGCAACGACCAAATTTTTGCTGAGGATTGTTCTGGTTTAGGTCATGCATGTCCTTCATTGTTTTTATAGCAGCATATCTACAATTGCTTGAACACATAACAGATAAGAATGTGAATGTGTAGATTTAATGCTGTTAGTTATATATCACAACTTGGTGAGTCTGAGAGACTGTCGATTCCTCTGCTGCTTCTGTACGAGTTTGATGGTTCTCTGCTTTGTTTCTTTTAGGCTGTCACGTCATCAGGAACAAAGAAGGGTGATCTTTTTTGGGCTGATGTGAACGCTCAGTTGAAGAACAAGAACATTACCACTGATTTTAAAGTGGACACAAAGTCCAATGTAAGTCCAATCTAGATACTCTCGTATGCAATTGAATCACTGTTGTCTTGGTCTATGTATATTTACGGCAGTGTTCATCATGTTTGTTTGCTAAATAGTGTATTCTGTTAGATCACTTGTCCCTGGTGGTAAATGATGTTTCTATCAAAATCAAAAATTCTTCGGCATAGTTGTTTTTAGCATGAATATTATGGGAAATCAGTTTGCACCTTTGGGTTTAACACACCTCGTCCCTCAATTGCTACCCACTTCCTAAGTAGGCTTGTTTTTTTTTTTTTTCCATGGATATTAGACGGATTTGTTTTGCCCCTAACCTTGTCCCATGTTTTCAGTATTTGCCAAATTTCTTTGTTCTTAGATACATTACCCTCTATGGGTTATGATTTTGTAGTTTTGCAAGCTTAATTGGTTATTCTTGCACAGATCACCCACTATTTTTTTAGTGCTTCAGAATCTAACCTGCTGTTTTATTTATTTCTTTATGTTTTGTTAACAGCTCTTCACGGCTGTTACAATTGATGAGCCGGTACCTGGTCTGAAGACAATCTTTAGCTTCAGAGTTCCTGACCAACGGTCTGGAAAGGTAAGAATCTCTTTGACTTCTTGTTTGTGGTTCAACATCACTGTTGCTATATATCTTTGTTTTAAAATGTATTAGTGATTTGTTATTCCACATTGTAGCTAGAACTTCAATATCTGCATGACTATGCTGGCATAAGCACAAGCGTTGGGTTGACAGCGAACCCTATTATCAACTTCTCAGGTGTGGTTGGAACCAATGCGCTTGCACTAGGAACTGATGTTTCCTTCGACACCAAGACTGGGACCTTAACCAAGTGCAATGCTGGATTGAGCTTCACCAAATCTGACCTTATTGCTTCATTGACCTTGTAAGTGGTTATCTTAAATATGGCAATGTTATTCAGTTGTATTAGCTTAATTGGGATACAGAGAATATATTTGGTTTTTTGTGGTTTGCATATATATTGTTAGCTGTTTTCTTTCTTTGGTTGTAGTATAGTTGAAAGACAGTTTTTGGTATGTCCATGAATTCCCAGCAATATGTTCTGGGGTCTTCGCTTAAATATTAATGGTGTTATTCGTTATTCATATATGACTTGACTAACAAGTATTTATGTTCAGGAATGACAAGGGGGATGCTCTGAGTGCATCATACTACCATACTGTGAGCCCCTTGACTAGTACTGCTGTTGGTGCTGAGGTGACACATAGTTTCTCCACGAATGAAAATACCATCACTCTTGGAACTCAGCATGCATTGGATCCCTTGACCACATTGAAGGCTCGGGTTAACAATTATGGCAAAGCCAGTGCTCTGATCCAGCATGAGTGGCGTCCGAAGTCCCTTTTCACAATTACTGGGGAAGTAGACACCAAGTCTATTGACCAGAGTGCCAAGTTTGGGCTGGCCCTGGTCCTGAAGCCTTAAATGAGCAGTGAGCTAATTCTGGTTTAGGAGCAATAAGTTAGATTGAGGAGAGCATGGTCACGACTTATTCTTTTGGCGGTTTATTTTGGTGGAATTTAAAGTATAGAAATAGAGTATGTTTAGATGGTTGCTTGAACCCGTACACAAAGTCAAATTTTCTTTTGTTTCTTGTCTAAGTGATTATGCTTTGCCTGTTTCTTTGAAGAAGTTTGACTTTAGGCTCTGGTTAATCTTGATAGCATATTTTCAGACTGAGCTGGGTTGAACTGACTAAACAGCGTTGTTCTCGATATTTTTGCAAATGTTCAGGAACAAACTTCAATTAATTTAAAGTTTGATTGTATGGTCCTTTTTATTCATTAAACTCTACGCACCCCCTGGAAGTGGAAACCAGGACGGCCGAGGTTCCTACCGAATGATTTATTTGTGCGGTTGGCATCATGTTAGCAACATCAGCCGATTCGTATTAGAATTAGTCGAGTAGTAACTTGAATGGGGAGAATGGTACGATATTGATATCCATATCGCAGATATTATCATATCCGCAGCGACTTATTGTAACTCAGTTGATATTGATCGTTTCAAATCTGTGATGATTGGTATCAACCGATATATTCGAGTCAATTCGGAATCGATTTGGATATTTTTTCATATTGTGCTTTTTTGGGTACTTTTTAATCTTAATAATTTTTTCAGATTTTTAAAAAATTTTTATGTGCTATAATGTAGGAATTATTTGATATTTAATCGATATGTCGTGACGGATATGAAACAATCGAAATCGCTACGCAATCGTGACCCCTGACGGCGAATCATGGTTGGTATCAAACAGCTCTCCAGAAAAATACTATGTCCTCTGTCCTAATTTTTTAGTCATGTTTTGAAAATCTAATTTTTTAAGAATAGTGGTTTGGCTGTGATGTTTATGCTTTTCTTTTTAATTTTATCTCCATAAATTCAAATTTTAAATTTGAATGATAATATACATATGATTAGAAAGAAGAGCTATATTGAAAAGAGAAATTAAAAGGTGTTTTAACTTTTTCACAAATGTTCTGGGACATATCAAAATAAAAAGTATGACACTTCAATGGAACGGAGAGATTTATTAGTTTTGAATATGATCTCAATACTTTCTGATCTGGGTTACCTAAATCCTGAGCTTTTATTTTTGAAATATCTCTATAAAAAGGCTTTTGAGCTTCCAGCTTCCTATCATCATCCTTGGACTTCAGCAAGGGGTTGTAGCCCGCGTAACAACATTCTCAAGCTATGTTGGTTCGATTTCTAGATTCTTTCTCTTTGGTCTTCGGTTAAGAAGAAAGCAGGTAACAGGGAAAGCCATCACTTGCATATACGTTTTAGTACATATACATCTCCTACATGAGCCATGTTCATCGGTTCATTAATTCTTTTTAATATATCTCCTACATGTGCTGTGCCCATTAGTTCATTATTATATATATTTTTAATGGCTTTTGCGTACTGTGAAAACTCAACAAAGTTCTTTGCCCATCATACAATACATGGTTTGTTGGGACTAGACAATCCTCGTCAAAGATGCAGTAGGGCTGGGATGTTTTTGATATCCAAAACAACATTCGCTTCAAATTTGGCGTTTTATTCTGGGTGCGGTCACTTCTCTATCGCTTCATATTTGGCATTCTATTCAGGTTCTTAGTGGGAATCGCCGATCCTTCTCTTCCACCAGATCTCTCTAACCTTGTTTTTTTTATCTTAGTACTTCTAGTCATCTCCTGTTTCAAAAATTGATAATTCTCACCCTTAATTCATAGAAAAGACAGAACAATTTAAAGCTTGTTTCAAGAGTAATGATCCTCTTATAAACAAAAGAAATAAATAATAAACTATTGTCCTTCACGTATTGAAAGGAAAAAGAAAATAGAATGCCTGCTTCATCCAAAAAAAAAAAAAAGGAGGACTCTGTCCTTTGACTAGAAGGCTTGTATTAAAGAAACTTCAAAATGAGCATACATGGAAAAAGCCAAGTAGATTTCTTTTTTTCCATGACATGCTTACTTCTTTTATGTATTAAACACACTTGGAAAGAGCATTATTTATGTACAAAGTTGATAGGGAAACATAAAAGTACAGGCTCTATAACGTTTCATCTCAAGACACACACACACACACACACACAAACACTTCTCAACAAAATCACTGTATAATGGCTTATCAGACGCACTGAAAATCAATCATCAAAACCAGGCTCATTACAGCAGGTTTGGTTGCTGGTGAGCTGAAGCTTGAAGTAATCCATTCCGAATTTGCTCAGCAACATCACGAACAGCACCAGGTCCATGTGGAATGAATACTGCAGAAGATTTGGATGTTGCACCAATTTCCTTCATCGTATCAAAATACTGTGTGACGAGGACCATGTCCAAAACATCCTTGGCAGTAGTACCAGGTACATTGACTGAGAACCCAAGAACACTGTCTCTCAGACCATCCACAATTGCCTGCCGCTGTCTAGCAATACCTAATCCTGCCAAGTACTTGGACTCTGCATCACCTTCAGCACGTTTGATTTGAATAATCTTCTCAGCTTCTGCTTTCTCGTTGGCTGCAACTCTCAATCTTGCAGCTGCCAAAAGGCGATGTGTTTAACAGTTTTATTATGCAGTATGTATAAAGTGCGGCCCAACTCACACATAAGAGTCAGTCAAGGTTCCATTACATGGCAATTCTCCAATTGTAGTATATGGACAGGAACCTTTTTTTTTTCCAGAAAGAACAAAATGACAGGGGTGACATTATCTGAGACATGCCACCTCTCGTACCTTAATTCTGATGAACTAACTCGGATGTATTAACATGTTACTAAAGCAATCGGTAGGTTTATCCAAAGAAGAAAGATATTATCTCACATATAACTCTCTAAAATAAATCCAACATAAATATAGTCAATCTTAAAAGTTGCTCTAAGGGACGAGTCTTAGCATACTTGTAAATGGAAAAAGGAAGTGGATGGCTTACCTGCATTAATTTCATTCATAGCACGTTTCACATGCTCATCTGGTTCAATATCAACGATAAGTGTCTGAACTATCTCATATCCATAAGCAGACATAGCCTGTGTACATAATTTTTGTATTAAACACGAATCATGTATTAATAAGGAACATGCTATCATCAATATAAGACAACAAAAGTATAATATCTTGGCAGATAGTTACTTTTTCAAGTTCATCTTCTACTGCTTTTGCAATTTCATTCTTCTGCTCAAAAGCATCATCCAGGTTTAGCTTTGGAACACTTGCTCTGATGACTGGAATGAGAGGTAAAGGGGTATCAATTGCTATAGCCTCATAAAATGCCAAAGGAATGAGACTCGTAAGATTAATCATCGCCAATGCTAAGATTTTCAGATTCATACCATCAAAAACATAGGCTTGGATTTGGGTCCTGGTATTGCTCAGTCTGTAGAAAGCATCACTGGCTTTATCAGCCAGGGCACGATATTGTATTGATGCAACTACGGTCACAAAGACATTGTCCTGCAGTACAAACAATAGAAGGAATGAAAATAAATATGTAGACCACAAGTCTCGTTCTCTAACTATTCCCATCTAGAGTACCAAGCATACAGGAGGTCAACCCAATGGAATCCTTTAGGATGGACCCCGATCTTACATAAGACGTTATTTGCTATTTAAGAGACATAAACTCACACTCTACTTGCAGACAGTAAAGGATGAAAACTGATTTCAACTGCAATCTCGCATAAAGAATGAAAACTGATTTCAAATGCAATCTTGTACCATGTCTCTGGTTCTTTTCTAGGGGAGGTTATTTGTGGCTTGTAAAAAGAAAACAATAGTGTGTGGCAAGACTGAACAAACCTTGGTTTTGGTCTCACAACGCACATCCAGTTGCTGCAACCTAAGAGATAAATATCCAGCAATTTGACTTCCAAGACACCACGGAAGGAAATGGCATCCAGGCTCAAGTACATCATCAAACTTACCAAATGTCTCTTTGATGGCAACTGTGGATTGATCAACTTGTGCACAGCATAACAAATTCCCCATTCTATATGTTCTGAGGAGGCAACAAGAAAAAGCTTTTAACCTGTTTCTCTTGTCCCGAGAAGACTAGCATAGAAAGCAAGGAACTGATATATGATATTTGTTGCACAGAATAGAATTTCAACGACGAGTGCATCACAGAAGCTAGCAACAAAAGAAACAGAGAGTTTCAAATTAGTAGAGAAAAAAGTCATGCACGGCAAACATTTAATTATGCCCATTACCCAGTCTGTAAAATGATCATTAGTATTCATGAAAAATGATCACATGCTCTTGCTATCACAGCAACAACGTCCAGGACTTCTGATATCTACAACTTTGAATCTCCATTCAGCTTACACTCCTCACTATTCCTAGTTGGATTCTTAGGGATACACGGTACTTATTCAATTAGCTCCGTCTCAGCACGGTCACTTTTTTCTTTTTTTTCCCTTTTTGGTTGGCTACCTTTGCTTACTACCGAACCAAACCACGTTTTCATGATAATCGCATAATGTTGTCAATGATAAAAAGGAGGCGAAATTCCTAATTCCAAGCTCCAACACAAGACAAAGGAACTCGTCAAAATAGGACTTGACACACTAACAGGAAGAATCAAAGATATGCATCCTAGATTATGGCAGGAGGCTAGGACTCATGCTACTTATGAAAGATCCGGCGTAGGAAAATTTCATTAAAAAGAAAGGAAATAAAAGAAAAGGCTACCAGAAGTATAGAGTGGTAAAATGACAAAATTTCTGCTGCGGTGGTGAAACAAGCAAACGGAGGATTTGCTGGATAAATGGAAATATATCTGGACTTGGTTCAGAGGCTAAGTAGATTTTATCGCATCGAACAGAACAGTCGATCAATCTTGAACATGGTACAAAATTAAAGTAATAAAATTCGTTAAATTCAAGGGCAACATAATCTAACATAAATCTCAGCTGAAAATCCCCGTCAAACAAGAGTCATAAGAAACGACGCGGGCGAGAAAGAGAGATGGCAAAAGCAAGTAGTAGTACCTAAGAGGGGCAATGAGAGCTAATAATGATTTGGCGGCGAATAGTTACTCCGTCGTCCGTCGTCCGTCGTCCCTTCTCCTATCCCCTGCAGTGCAAATGCTAAGTGGTGAACATTTTATTTTATTTTATTTTTAAATTAGATTTTGGTGTTTCGGTTGACCTTGACTTTTGGACATCCGCTGGAATATGTATTTGTTAAAAAAAAAAAAATTCTCCAATATATATGGTACAGTATGTTTTTGTAATGACATTAGATTAATACTACTACTATAATTTTTCAAAATTATGAAATAATTTTTTCGGAGTTGAAATAATCATCATGTACTTCTAAATTTAATTCTTGGAAAGTCTACCCCTCTTCAAGAACAACATTCAATTTTCCTTTTTGTATAAATTTAAAAAATTTCAAAAACACTTGTAATAAATTTAATTCTCGCCCTCGCAAAAATCTAAAAATAGTTTAGGTCACATGTTAAAGTTCATCCTCGCAAGATATATTTTCTAGTTCCATCTAAAAAAGGTTGTAATTGTTAACGGTTATAGTTTACAACAAAAACTACACCGTTTTAAGTGACTATATTAGATGTAAAATTGATAAAATAGTGAGAAAACAACCGTTTTAAAATTTATTGGACCCAAAAGATAACGATTTATTAAAGAGATTAAGAGTATATAGTTCCATGTAATGCCTATCACTATCCCACACTATCCTTTTCCCAGTAAATTTCATAATTTTACAATAAATAATTAAAAATTATATTATAAATACATTACTCGATATGATTTGATGACAGTTTAATCTTTTCAAATTTGACTCGATTATCTTGTTAAGTAACTTGAATTTGACTCCAATTGAATCAGTACGAGTTTGAGTTGAACCTTTGAGTTTGAGTTGAACCTTTGATCAACCAAGTCACTTGCGACCCGAATAATTTGATTAATTTACTCCTTTAGTTGTTTTTTTTGACAAGGAGGTTTTTTGGGATTTAACCCCCAAAATTTTGACACAATAGACCCCTCGGTTTGCTATTTGGTATTGGCAAATAGGTACCTCAGTTTGCTCATTAGCTCTCCATTGGAAAAAAAAAGGTGTTGAGTGGCGTTACCACAATATGATGAGGAGAGAATTGAAATTTGAAAAACCCTTAGCCGTGAATTGTGAGCTTGGGCATAAATCGTAACCCTGGCGGTCGCTTCCTGCTGCCTGCACTTACCCACCATCCACTAAATAAATTCAGTGCGGAGTTAATTCTTTTTTATTCTTTTTTTTTAAAATTTGTTAAGCAGCAGCCGAGCGGCCTGAAACCGGAGACTTAAGAGAGGAAGAAGGACGCTGAGAGATTTGCCAGAAGAAAAATGGTAAAAATATCATGGATGAAGCTTAAGGGAAGCCAGAACCTGAGGCTGCGCCTTCTATTATCGACACTCTCCTCAACTCCTATCCTCATCGAGGACATTCGCGCCGACGCCACCTGGCCTGGCCTCCGCCCCCACGAGGTCTCCTTCCTCCGCCTCCTTGAGAAGATCTCCGACGACTGCCTGGTTGAAATCAACGAAACTGGTAACCTTTTTTCGGCTAAGCTAATACTCGGTCCAGGGTTTTAGGGTTTCAGCTTCTCTACATTTCTTTTGCTAATTTGATGCTGTAAATTTTGCGATTTAGGCACAAAATTGAAGTATAAGCCGGGGATTGTGATGGGTGGGAAGCATTTAATTCATGACTGCGGCGTTATTCGGTCTATCGGATATTTCTTGGAGCCTTTGATTCTGCTTGGTTTGTTTGGAAGGAAGCCCCTCTGCATAAGGCTCAGAGGTAGAACTCTTTGCCCCCTCCTCTTCCTGCTCCAGAATTTTTTCTCCCTGCTCGAAGATAGTTAAATGCAACATTCATTTCTTTGGTGAAATACGCGATCGTCTGTTAGGTAAAATTTGTTGTATGCATATTGTCGTGGTTACTTGCAAATTGAGCAAAGTTTTGTGGTTTCTTGGTAGCTTAAGATGTGGACTCGTTTTAGTGGTAATTATTCTGGAATTCCCTGTCATCAGTAAAATTGCACAGGTAATCGAAAATTCATGCGATTGTCATTGAGTTTCTATGATATTTGGCTTCTTTATTGTGGGAAGATGGGGAGTGTTAAGGGAATTGCTGACTGGTATTCTGTGAAATAGATTTGGGGAAAAAGGTAAGAGGGTGGAGCTGCTGGAATGAAAACCATGTAGGTTATCCTAAATTAACAGTATGGAGGACTGGAGAGAATAGAATTGGTTACAATGCCTCAGAATATAATTGTCAATTGAGAATGTCCCTGCTTTGTTAAACTTTCCAGCATCGTGATTGCCAAAAGAATAGCTCAATTGTTGTGTAAAATCCAAACATGGTTGCATAGGGCTGCACTAGACTTTCAGCCAGAGTACTAAACCAACAACTTATTGTGATCATCTTAGTTGGTCTTTTTAGGTGATATTTGATCATTTTCTGGAGGTGTTTGAATGCTAATCCACAAACCAAGAATCAAATTACTACAGTTATGGGGTTCTGCTGATGATACCTTACATGAGGAGGCTGTCATCTTCCAATTACCACATTTATGCATTGTTCTTCAAAATAAGTGCCCTCTACCACTGAGCTGAAGTCATCTCATGTTGCATAACTAGTAGTAAAGCTAGTGTTTTTACTCATGTTAGATGGCAATTACACAGCTGGACCTGTGTTATCTCTGAGTTTCTTAGTGGTTTCTCCTGATCGGTTGTATAAGCGTGTTTTCTGCACCTTCAATCATAAGGTTAACCAATTGTTTCATATGCAGGAATTACCAATGATTCTAAGGATCCATCTGTTGATACATTCAGATCAACTACTTTACCCATTTTGAAACGGTTTGGAGTTAATCCAGAAGGATTGGAGCTAAAAATTGAGAGCCGCGGTGTTGCCCCTGGTGGGGGCGGTGAAGTTATTTTGTCGGTCCCCATTCTCCAGGATAGTTTACGAGTGAGATTTTTGTGATTTGACTTACTAGCTTTTTGAAGTTCATCTTTTTCAATATGTACCTTATTTCCAAATATAATACAAGTTTTGTCTTTTCGTGTTGCACTGTAAAGGCAGTTACCTGGATTGATGAAGGAATGGTTAAGAGGATTAGAGGAGTGACTTTTTCAACTAGAGTGTCTGTTCAGTTTGAGAACACCATGATACATGCAGCTCGTGGGATCTTTAACTGTTTGCTTCCAGATGTACACATATTTACGGATCATAAAGCTGGTTTACTGGCTGGAAGGTATGTCCACCTTTTCAATGTAATTTGCTATTATGGTGCATTCCTTGCGTTTCTATAGTTTCTCATGTCACAGATCCATCAGAAATACCTCATTTCTTGAGTGTGGTGCTTGACATGACCAGCTATTTTTTTGCTTCTCGGTACTGTTGCAGGTCGCCTGGTTATGGGATTTCACTTGTTGCAGAAACGACTTCTGGGTGCTTCATCTCAGCTGATAATTCGGTATGTTATGCACAAGGGGAGGAAGAGGCTGACATTGAGGATGAGGCAATGCAAGACTTGATACCTCCAGAAGACACTGGTGAGCAAGCTGCTGGTGTCTTGCTTGGGGAGATTGAACAAGGAGGGGTGGTAGATTCTACTCATCAGGTTGTTCTAAAGACCTGCACATTTGATCACTGCTGTTTCATGAATTTTGTGGTTTTATTATGGATGTTATTCTAGCAGAGCTTTAGATAATGGAGAATTTCTTAATGTAGTTGTTATAGAATCTGTGGATCAGCTTGCATGTTAAGTTAGTCTTTGATGCATGTATTGTTCCTGCCATGATGTGAAGAATACGCTTGCTTTGTGCTGTAAGAGCCTTTCGGGGAACTGCAGTTTGCACCTTTTCAGCTAGCCTCTCGATATTCTCCCTGCATGTTAAGTTTGGTGATGAGGCGTGAATTTTCTGTCCCATGTCATCATGACTATACTTCTTTATCAATTTTTTTTCTCTGGTGAAAATCTGCGTCAATGGAATCTTACTGAGCCTCCCTGGGGGAGTGTTGTATGCACCTGATTTGTTAGTCTTCTATTCTACATTCTGTAAAACAAATATTGGTCTTGTTGTAAATATTTTATATATCATGATTTTTTAAGTTGAGCTGTGTATCTTTCCCTTATGGCAGCTTATTATTTTTGTTTTACAGGGATTGTTGTTTCTTCTTTGTGCATTGTGTCCACAAGATGTTTCGAAGGTTCGTGTTGGTAAGCTTTCACCCCATGGAATTGAAGTACTCAGGCATCTCAGAGACTTTTTGGGGGTCAAATTTGTAATCAAGCCAGATCCATCGACAGAAACCGTCATCCTTAAATGCGTGGGTTGTGGATTAAAGAACTTATCCAGAAAGGTCTCATGAGGAGCAATGGCAGTAGGTATCAAAAATATTCTCAACTTTGGTCTGCAGTGGGTTGAGTTGTGGTTTTCAGCTAGGGTTTGCGTCCTGTTCCACTAGCACTGGGCTGTCATTGGTTTCCTTCGATGAAAAAAGAATTATCCTCAATTTAAGAGGCATTTAGTTTTGTTTTCCCTTTTTTTATTTTAATCGGTAGAGCAGAATATGATTTCATGTAGTAGTAGTTTTCAATTGAGTAAATCTGTTGAATTTGACTGGAACTTGCCGCTGCATCGGGGTAATTCTTGATGCTTTTTCTCCTAGCATCCTCAATTCTTTCTCAGCAGCGCTATCGTAATTCTATTGTAATGATTTTTCGGTGCTCCTTTCATTATCCATAGAAATACCGCAGCTTTTCTTGTTGCCGCTCAAGTGCCTTTCATTCACCATGACACGAATAAATGCTAAAACAGGTGGATGTACTCCAATGGAGGGGGAAAGCAGGAAGTTTCTTGGCAAAAGCATTATCATGATTGCCCTGAAAGTTCGAGTTTTTAAAAACGAAAACATGTTTATTAAAATCTGTTTCTGGCCGAGTATGTAATTATGTACCTGCCTTTACAAAGTCAGTCTTTAAAAAAGGCGATGCGGCTATTGTTTAACCACATGATAAATCTAGTGAGTGTCTAGTTAATTAAATCCACCTGAATTTGTAGTTCACACACCATAATACATTTTAGGGAAAAGAGTTTCAATGGTCCTCCAACTCTTTTTCAGGTAAAGTTTTGGCCTTCCAACAATTAAATATAAAGGTTTGGCCCTCGATCTAACGAAATAGCATATTAGTAGTTTTTCTATCAAATCCAGCAGTTAACTATGACGGGAACCAAATATGAAGGGCATTATAGTTTGTTTGCCAAGACAGAATAAAAATAATTTCACCAATAATTTTTCCTCCAACAATTTTCACTCCCTTTGCTGTAAAACCCTACTGCGAATCATCTGATTTTTCAATATCTAAAATGTAAAAACTTCTCTTCACAACAAAATGCTAAGCATCTCATTAGACAAGTGAGACTCCCTCATTCATTCCCAGGCTCTCCAGCGACTGGTTCCATGATTTGCTTCTCTTGTTCATCTCGAGTGTTTCCGGGGTGGTCACTGTCTTCAATTGCCTCTTCCTCCTTGTTATTGTGGCATAAGTTGCTTTCCTCCTTCATTAATCCATAGCTAATAAACAAATCTTTCCACTCTTTTTCTCCAGATAAGTACTCGTGCTGCCCCAAATATTTCTTCAACTCAACTTTAGTGTTTCGAAATGGCTAAGGACAAATATTTAAAAACAGCCACTTCAGTACTCTTTCATTCCACTGCACACAATCTAGGAGATAATTGTAATTCAATTTTCAATTATCATTTTTCCTCTTCTTGTTTAGTATTACTTTTGAGAATTTAGACAACAGACCAAAATCTTTGTAGCAGCAATTGATGGAAGGTTTAAAAGTACCTTTGCTAATTAAAAAAAAAAAAAAAGACTGAAAAGGAAATAATACCTCTGCTTTGCATTCAGTGGCCAATCGAAAGAAAGCAGCAGAAACAAAATGCTTCCCAACGGACTCAGCTAATCTGATACGATCGAGCCAATACAACTTTTTGTTGGATGGAGATTATTGTTACTCTAACTTAAGATAAGAGAAGAAGCTACCATTTTACTCTCTCTTTGCTTGGTAAATCATCTTTTAGAGACTATAATACCCTTCATATTTGGTCACGCGTCTCACAAGATGATGCTTCGTGTTACAGTTAACTGTTAAATTTGACAGAAGGGCCACTAATATGCTATTTTGTTAGATCGAGGACCAAACATTTATATTTAATTGTTGGAGGATCAAAACTTTACCTGAAAAATAGTTGGAGAGCCGTTGAGACTATTCTTTTCCCTACATTTTAAGGTACCAGTAATTAGAAACGAACAGCCAATATCGGAAATCATAATCACAAGGTCTTGAAAATTGCCGAGTCAGTAACATCACTGGTGGGTGTCTGCTTCGAAGGTATGGCATGGAAATATCCAAGTAACTTCAACCTCGACTTCCGCGTGACGCACTCTCTCTTTTAAGTCTTGAGTGGAGTATTCGGTAATTGGTAGGAAACTTCAGTGAAACAACAGATGTGCCCGTCCACTTTTCTTTAGGTCTCGTCAATGGAAGGATATCAGTGGGTGAACATATATTATTTATAGAGATGATGATCATGGATGGCTCAATTGTACTCAATTCTGCCTCCAGTTAAACACAGTGTACTACTTACTGTTCGCGATCAATCATCTCAAATGCAAAGGCATCATCAGAAGAGAAAAAGTCATCCCATGACCTACGAATTCCGAGTATATCCACGCGAAACCAATTTATTGCCCTCACTGACCTACTTGCTCTTGATGTCTAATAGCATTGGCACAATTTTCCGGGCGTATTCCTCCGGCCACAGTAGGCTTCTAGCTTTCATCTTCTTCATATGCCCCGCCTGCTTCTTGCTAGAATATTGTTTCTGCGCCTACCACCGACTGCCGCAGCATGACAAGTCAGCCCGCAAGAAGTTTCTTGCGGTGGCAATTTGGTGCTTGTTTACTGCCATCATGTTTGGGTTCACCTATCAATTCGCCCCGCTTTTCAGCCTTGCCGCCGCCACGCCTCTCTACGCCGTTGCATTCGCTGCCAGCGCATTCATGTTTTATGTCTACATTATCCACGTCGACGTCGAGGAATGCTGTAACGACAACAATCGGTTCTCCGGGGGAAATTTCGAAATCATTTTTGACAAAGTATAAGCTCAAGAAGTTGCTACCACTCTACATTTTTTTTTTTTTTAATTTTGGATATGTTCCTAATGGTTGAATGAATAAGAGCAGAGTGGTGCGAAATAAGTTTTCACATTTTGTTTTTTTTTTTTTGTTGGGTGGGGGTTGGTTTTGTCCTGCCTTTAACCCATTTCAATCGAGTATCCCAATTGGGTAGTGGATTTTAAGTTTGTAGTATTTGATTTTGTTATCATGGAATAAGGCCTTGGGCTTTTCATGTTCGAATGCATTGGCAAGCGCACTGGTTAAATTAAATCTGTCGTATCGTACCCAATACACTACACTACTGTTATTATCAGTTTGGTGTATACAGGAATGGATCCAAAATTACCGTCTCTTTAATCATTTTTTGCTGTGAAAGTAGTAGAACGTTACATGGGCCTCTTAGTAACAGAGTTTCCTAAATTCAGCTTTAGTATACCACCACATGTCCATATATATATATATGGTCACCAAATCAGAATGGATTATACGAATTACTTGCGCGATCAAATAAAATTGCAAAATTATTTAAACACGTCTGGAGGGTTGAGGAATAAAATGACTAATCTAAAGCATACCCCCAAACCAATATCAACTATTGGAGGATGGATGTATGGATGGATCGATGGGGAACTAAGTGAGCAGCTAATATGCCAAATGGAGGCACTCCCTTTGGCATTGACCGGCTTCATAAAATATGGAACACATAAATCAATAATAATAATAATAAGGAAAAATTGCATAAATCGTCTCTCACATATTAATTATGTGAAAATTTAGTTTCTCAGAACGAAAACGAGCATTTTTAGTCTATTACAATAAAAAAAAAGGGATCAATTTTGGTCCCTGTTAGTTTTTTCGTATGAATTCTTGACGAACTCAGTCATGGGAACATCACGTGACCAACTTTTGAGGGACAAAAAGGGCAAGTCACTCAGATCTTGACCAAAATGTAGAGGACCAGTTTCATCCTCACATAACTTCAAATTCCTAAATTTCTTTGAAGTTGCCATGGGAAAAGCACCAAACTGTAGCTACAGTATACCAGCCACAGTGAAGACTTCGTGGACAGCTAAGAACCCAGGAAAGAAATTCTATGGATGTGCCTATTATGAAGTAAGTCTTTGCTTCAGAATATTTTATTTTCCTTTTTTGGAGAATCTGAGCTCCTAAGTTGAACAAAATGGTTCTCCATGACCAGCATAATAATGGCGGAGGCAGCTGTGGGTACTTCAAGTGGCATGAAACAAGCGGCTGTGAGAGGTGCGATAAACTGGTGAGGCACACACGGAATTTAATAAAGAAAGTGAAAGATTTGGAGATTGATGTGGAGAAAACAAAACAAAAAGAGCGTAGAATAAATCTGATGCTATTCATGGCCATTGTTACTGTAATCTATCAGTGGCTTTGGAAAGAGTAATTTGGCACTAGTTGCATATGTTTGTCTGGGTTGTGAATTAGGGGTCTCTAGCGAGTAACTATTAGGTAATGCAAGGGATCTCTGGTTGCATATGTTTGGCACTGGTTGCATATTACTGGCGTAGTATGAAGATAATGCAAGGGATTTAGATAACTAACGAATGTATTGTTAAAGTAGCATTGGAATATAATGCTTTGTTTAGCAACCTGCAAATTACCTCAGAGTTTGCAATGTGTTGTCCAAATTGATTACTTTTATTGCTTTATCATCATTATCTTAGATCTTTAGTGATAATTTCCTAATTGTTGTATCTTATAAAGATAGTCCTTTTATCAATAAATAATTTGTGAACATAAAATCTGGACTTTAGTTATACAATTACAAAAAATTTTGTCCTTATATTAATTTGGTCAATCCCAATTTAGTCATTGCATAAAGCATTTCTAAATGGCTAGCTTAATAATGTCAAAAGGTGATTTTTAAACACAATGGGTCAGTCGCCAACATTTGAGATCTTATTAATAAAATGCATCGACTAATTAAATTGAAACATCTTCCAATCAAATTAAAATAGACTTTAGACAATGTAATGTTGATAATGTTGATTCAAGCTTTAGTAAAATTGCTCATAGAATTACTTCAGAATTCATTACAAATCTAAGCATGATCATTTAAAAAGAAGCAATAGATATTTAGATGAGAATGGAGGTTCGTTGCATTTGTCCATGTTTTTCATAAAATACAAGTCAAAAGTTGAACAAAGTCTCCTGAAATCAATTTCCAACAAAACTGAACTAAAAACCAAGTCACATAATTCCCAACAAAACTGAACCAGCAAAATAGGTCCCAATAAAAGACAGCAAAAACTGAACTAGCAAAACTTGGAATATAATTATCCAACAAAACTAAACCAGCAAAACAGATCCCAATAAAATGCAGCAAAAACTGAACCAGCAAAACAGGGCACGTAATTACCCAACAATTACTTCCCATCAATCCATGTCTTTCATAAAATACAAGTCAAAAGTTGAACATAGTCTCCTGAGATCATTCCATTGCTGTAATAACAAAAACTGAACCAGCAAAACAGGACATAATTGTTCCAAAAAATGAAAAGTAGTTATGCAGCAGTGATTGTTTCAAAAAACAGGATATAATTCCATCACATAATTGTTCCCAAAAACTTAAAAGTGAATGACACAAAAGGACATGAGAGCTCTGATTATGCAGCAGTAGCTTTATTTGTAGCAGAATCATTCAAGCCATTTGCTGCAGTAGTGGTCTTTGTTATAGTAGCAGTTTTTGTATTCTTATGTCTCTGAACATAAAAAATGAAAAATCAACAATGAGAAAAAGACTACCGGATACAATAAAAAATGTGAAACCTAATGGTTAGACAATAAATAGAACATACAACCAAACCACGTGGTTCATAAAGGGCCCTTCTATAAAGAGTAGCCAGTGTAGAGTCACAATTACTTCGAGTGTGTTTGAATTTTCGACATACCCCACATCTGTACTTCACTTTCTTACCCTAACCATGATCAAGAAGTAAGGAAAAAGCAACTAATATTAGTTAATAACCTAATAAATCTACAAACTGAATTGGTACAAAGATAAAGAGTGTTAACTGGAAAGGGGCCAATCTAGGCTCTAGGTGGTTGAGTAAATGGCTGACTCCTTGCTGGTTGACCAGGTATTTGATTAATGAGATCAAGCAGAGTCTCATCAGTCAAGCAGGCACTTGTTCCACCCATTGGTTCAGTTGTGAAACAAGTACTTACAGTAGAAAATTGAGGCTGGTATACAATTTCTTCTTGTTGTGGCTGAAACTCTTCATTTCGTGGACCACTTGCTATCTCATATGTGTTTGCAGCATCTCTTTGTTGTGTAGCTTCCTGCTCATGCGGATTAACAGTGACATGGTGTGTACTTTCTACTGCTCTTCTATTGCCATTTGCTACATCTACATTTTCTGGATACTTTCTGCTATTATAGCCTAATTTTTTGCATTTACGACATTTATACTCTATCAACCCAGCTCCAGACAGCTTTTTAAGTTGCCCTCGACTACTTGTTGAAGTTGGGGGCTCATCAGGCTCTCTCCTTTGAACTTTTTTTGGCCTACCTGGAAGCTTGATATGCTCAGGGGTAGTACAGGCCCCTTTTCAGACATTTTCATAGGTGCTCACCATTAAGAAGATATATGATAGGCTCATACGCCCTCATATATGCCTTCTTGGAGTAACATTCATGCACAAAACTCTCTGGATGTTCTTTTGTCAATGCAATGACACTCATTGCATGGAAGCAAGGAATGCCATTAAGTTCCCACCTCCTACAACTACATGTTCTACTAGCCAAGTTAACAGAGTATCTATCCCCATACATGCTCCTCACATCATAAAACCAATCACCCGATGGTGTAACTATACAACCACTAGTTGCATTTTTTACTTTTTCAAGCTTCTTTAAAAATTTTGGGCACACACTTTCACTATACTTTCTCATCCACTCCCTCTTGGTCTCCATTATAGTCATTAAATATAGCTTAATAGTTTCTAACATACCAAGTATGGATCTCTCTCGTGCTTCTAAAATGCTAGAATTAAAACTCTCACAGAGGTTGTTTAACAAGATGTCACACTTAGGAGAAGTGCGGAAGTATGCTCTAACCCACTGCTGAGGTGTTGTATTATCAACTAACCATTTAAAGGCCCCTTCATCGAATTCCCTTAAAACCTCCATCAATGCAACAAATAGATTCTTGTAGGGTGCTCTTGCAAGCAACCAAATTCTATTCTTCAGTGCCAATTCACTATGTTGTTTCTTGAAATTATTGTACATGTGTCGTACACACATTCAATGCTCTACATCTGGAAGAATCTCGTGTAAAACTTGGATTAGCCCCTTCAATAATAAAACATAACAAACATATTAAATGACAGATTTGCATTAAAAATGGACAAAACATATAGCAAAATCAAAATCAGCTTAGTAGTTCATCTTCTGCTTATCAGTCATAAAGGTCCATTTGTCCTCATCCTTTATGTCAAGGTCAGTCACCAATTCAGTTAAAAATCACTTCCAAGTAAGTTTATTTTCAACTTCAACCATAGCAAATGCAATAGGATATAGCTGATCATTTGGGCCGATTCCCACTGCTGCAAGTAAAACACCTTTATGGGGATCTCTTAAATGACAACCATCTACTCCAATAATAGGGCTACAACCAGTTAGAAAACCTTTCTTGCA